CTGATTCACTTTTAGAGAGAAGGTGTGACACCATTCTTTTTCTTAAAAGAAAGAATTCTTATGTAAATTCTTTGTATTATAACAATAAAATCCCAATTAACATAATAAGTTTATGTGAATTAATATTTTTCTTTAGTCACTAAATTTTGCTTAAGTGGAAATTTATTACTTGTAGTTTGAATTTTTGGTAAGATGATAAGACACAAAACTTTTTACCTAGAGATGCGAGACGGTAATTGACGGTAACAAGAACGATGTCTTTGTCGAGCAGATACTGAGGCCCGAAGTTATAGCTTTGGCCTGAGAATAAGTAAAAACTACCGGGATGGAAGAATATCAGTACGGCTCTCTTCACGGGATCGTTTTCCGACGGTAACTGCGATTATGGTAATTGTCCAATTAGTGACTTCATACTTTATTCAGCGTTAATTTGTCTTAATTGCATTATGAGGCTCACTTTTGTTGTGTATATATTCACACGAAGACAATCCTCCATTATATTCTGTTCGGATATTGCTGGACAAGCGGGTCCTTCTTTAGTTGCATCGAAAACGTCGGTCCAATTCGCTGCTGGAATTGCAACCTAAAAAAAATAAGTTTGAAGAAACAAAATAATGATAAATTTGGCCAAAATTCTAAGTCGAAGACTGCCTTATTTTTGTCAAGAAATTCATGGATAGATCGTTTACGAAAAAGTTTTTATATAATATTGCGTGTCTACAGATTAAGGATTTTGCCGCGTTTTGCGTCTTTAAGAAATTGTGCAAGATTCTCTATCATTTTATTAGTTGCGCCTGTGATGCAGATACAAACGCGAATTAAACGATCGACTTAAATATAAAATTAACAATCGGGTTCTTATTATTTATCCAATTGCGATATCTGATTTTATTTGAATATCTGACTATACTTTACTTGAAAACGGTACTGTCCGGTCGGTGGTTCGGCATATCTGACACCGCGAAAGGAAAAGATTTTCCTGCCAAGTCTGGAGGTCATGGTGGAACCGCGAATTCTTCCAATCGGTGCGACGACCTCGCATTGTTCGCCGACGGGATTGTCATCGGCGAGCACGATAATGACACTCAAGAAGATAACGAACAAGCGTTTCATGATGTTTCTGTAGAGGAGGAGAATTTGAACTGGCGAGTTTAATGCAAGCATGATACGAGAACATTTTTCTTTAAGAAAAAGGATGTACATAGTATTGCATTTCTATTTATGCTTATCCGTATCAAGCTTTCTGAGCACCGGTGATTCGAAGGCACCGGGTAATTTGGGCTTGAAGGATCAGGTCGTGGCGCTTTAAACTCGCTAGTCCGTGAAACCGATTAACCACTACCGAGCAAAAATATTTCAATGGCAGTGCAAGACTTTTTATACCAAACCGCGAGAGGGAAGACACTCATGTGAATCGCAGTTGTCTTTCTGGGTGTTCACCCAGAAAGACAACTGCGAAAGGAAGGCAGGGAGCGAGAAGAAAGCGAATGTTGTGAGACAAAATTTATGTTTGTAATCGTTCACAATTATAATATCAATAAATATATACACTATTTACAGGTTGTTTTTTAAGTGGATCGCAAGAAAGAATTCGCGGCGGCCGGATTTTAAGTGTCCGGTGTTTGACGCGTGGATTTTCCGTTGCAAAAGCAATATTAAGCGCGAATACTGGGTACTTTTTATTTAGTGACACAAGTCAACACAAGTATCGTTTTGTCTTTGTTACTCACTAAATGCTAAGAAAAATAGACTAACGTTTGTGTCGACTTGTGTCACTAAATGGAAAGCACTATCGAGCGGTCGAAGCAGCACCGCGGCACTTAAGGTGGTTTTATCGCTCAACGCCAACTCGATAGTGTGACGTTATCACATAAACGGCACACAATCGCATATGTACAGTCTATGCAAAATGTTTTTATTGAATTACGCTTGTTTTTACTGAATTATTAATTATATAGAGTGACTAACTTTTGACTGGGACTTGCACGATAAAACCACCTTAAGTGACTTCGCGTCGCGAATACTTTGAGAACAAGATATCTGCGGTTGGCGAAAGTTAAAGGTTCGATCGATTTGCATCGAGACTCACTGACGATCTGTGAGTTGCCGCGGGGGCACGGGCGTTTTGTTATCTGTCGATTTTCTCGAAGGTTCCGTGCCCCTCATCTCGGCATTTATCTTTATCTTTGAAACTAGCAATTAATGGTTAGTCATTAGCGCAAAGACAAAGGAATTTGTTAATCATATTACTGGCGCAAATATTAATACTTAATGTTGTAACCGATGTGTGTTGCCTTTGCCTCTAACATATACAGTACATTTATGCAAACAAAGGAAAGATTCGACACGTCGGTTATCTGATTTAACTAAGAATACAATGCAAATTATAAAGTGTATATTTTAGCTATTATGTTGCGCGTGAGAATAATTGCAATTTCAAACACTGGGTAACTTTTGATTCTATCATATACGAAGAGTGTTTTCCAAAATAGACAGCCAGACGTATATGAGGTCACGCACGGTTTTGCATCGTAAATATACACGCGTACGGTATTTTAAACCAAGATAAAACAGGAATTAATGCAACTATTTCATGAGGAGTGCAAATAAATTCCATGACTTGTAAAATTATTTCAACATTTATCTTCAAGTCACAGTTCATAATATTATGATCGTTTCTTTTTTCTATCGTTTTGCACATTTTTCAAATATTATAGCTGATATGCGAGTCGAATATTGCGAACGGAATGTATAGGTCTTATAATTTTCCTGAACATAAGAAATATGTAACTAATTTTACAGAAAATATATTAAAATTCAATTTTATTATAGGGAAAAATGCATAAGATTTAATTACTTCATTGCATTAATTGTTCTTATAATTTTCTTTTATAAAAAGAAAAAGATTTTAATTTTATATTTAAAAAAAGTACAAATGCACAAAACTAATGATTTAATTTGAAGCCAAAGATAAAGCATGAATTAATGTTGCTATTTGACAAGAGATGTAAATAAATTCACAACTTTGAAAAAATTATTTCGTTTATCTTTAACGGTTACTATTTATAACGTCATTGTTAGTACATTTTTCAAATGATATAGGTGATGATGTAAATCGATTGCGCCGAATACTGATATAAGCCATATTATTTTCCTCAATACGAAAAATATATAACAATTAAATTTTATAGGAAAGACCATTACATAAAATTCAATTTTACTACAAGAAAGAAATGCATAAAATTCTAAATTACTTTATTGCATGGATGTTTTTCATGGATAATTTTGTTTTACAGGAAGATTTTGACTTTATATTAGAAAAATACCGATGCTCAAAAATAATAACTTAAAAAATTTTCTAATTTTTTGGATATCCTTCAGCTATCTACTATATTACACTATTGTTGTAATATTACTACGACGTTGTAGTTTTGTTGTGTACAACGTTGTTGCAATATTATGTGCTGGGTGGAACTGTACTGGTTTGGAGTTCAAGCAGATCAGTATAGATCTAGTGGTGTCGGTCGAGCACTCTAACAATTCGGCTTGTTTCTCCGCTAAATGCAATTGTTCTGGAACGGTTCTATCATTGTCGCGCTACTCATTATGATCGCTCAATGGAGCAATCCCTTGGACATTGGCGAAACCATGTGCAAAAACACGCTCAATCTATCAGCACTATCACCGGATATAGTGTCGGGATCGTCGTCGAAAGCGATTATTCCTTTGAATCCATCGAAGCGCCACATCTTGATCTTTATATTCAAACCGAAATTATTCGGTGCTTTTGAATCGCCGGTGCTCAGAAAACCTGACATGAATAAATATAGAGGTATCGCATCATTCCCTTCCTTAAAAAAAAAGTTATTGTGTCAATTCTTTAAATTACAAGCGATAAAATTTTGATGATAATTTTATGAATCAGTATTTTCCTTTCAACTTTAAATTCTCTTTAAACTGAATTTTATCACTTGTATAAGGTTGAATTGTTTGAAAGATGAATAAAATGCGGGACTTTTACCATAGAGACGGTAATTAATCGTGATATCTTCGTCCAGTACTGAGGTACTACAGGTACTGAGATAAGCTTTGATCCGAGTATAAATAAAAGTACCTTCGGGATGAAAGAATAACGTACAATGCGAGTTTTCAGGGGATCGTTCTCCGACGATAACTATACTTATTATATAATCAAAATAATTTTTCAATTTGTGATTTATTGATACTTTTTTCAGCATAAGTGTACATACGTTGCAATATATGCTCACTTTCATTGTACAGACATTCACACGAAGACAATCCTCCATTATATTCTGTTTGGATATATTGCTGGATAGGCAGATTCTCTTTTAGTCGCATTGAAAACGTCAGTCCAATTTACCGCTGAAATTGCAATCTGGGAGAAATAAGATTAAAGCAATAAAAATTAAAAATTTTGATTCGAAGTCTGTCTTATTCTTGTCAAAATTGCTGGATGAATCGTTTTCGAATCAATTTTTACATAATATTGCGTGCCATTTGAGGGTCACCGCGTTTTACGTTCTTAAAATACTGCAGTGCAATTAAGAGTCACTATCATTTTATAATTAGCTGCGTCTGTAATGCGGATACAAACGCAAATTACCAGATGTCGACTGTGATATGAAATTAACAGTAGCATTTTGATTATTTATCTAATTACAATATTCGATACGTCTGATACTTTACTTGAAAACGTTGCTGTTTGGTTGACGCTTCGGCTTATCATATGACACTGCGGAAGGAAGAGATTTTCCTGCCAAATCTGGAGGTCATGGTGGAACCGCAAATTCTTCCAATCGGTGCGGCGTCCTCTTGTTGTTTACCGGCGAGATTGTCATCAACGAGCACAACAATAACGCTCAAGAGAATGATAAACAAGCTTCTCATGATATTTTTGTATAAAGGAAGATAGTGTGTACCAGCTTGCCGCAGGCGCGAGTGCAATAGTGAGCGCGAGCGTAACAATATGAAAATTAATTTCTTACAACAGACTGCTTGATGTATGTAAAGTCATGCATAGTTGTGCAAGTGAAATATAAACACGCATGAGATTTTAAATCGGGATAAAATGAATTAATGCGATTACTTCATGAGAGATGCAGATAAATTCCGTGATTTGTAAAAATGTTCTAAACGTTTATCTCCAATAGTCTAAGTGTTTATATAACATTATCGTTTTTTTTTGCTTTGCACATTTTTCAAATAATATAGCTGATGTGAGCCGATTCAAAATATTGATGTCCTATTTTTATCAACATAATAAGGAGTATGTGTATCTAATTTTACAGAAAAGATATTAAAATCCAATTTTATTATATAAAAAAAAATGCAAATCCGATTACTTTATTGCATTAGCTGTTTTTATGATTTCCTATTATAAGAAAAGAAAGATTTTAATTATATATTCAAAAAAATTGCAAATGTTCAAACATATTGATCTAAAAAATTTGGAACCAAGACGAAGCGGGAATTAATGCCGTTGTTTGACGAGAGTACATAAATCCGGCCGCAACTTGCAAAAATTATCTCTAATAGTTTTCAGTTTATATACTGTTTTTTCCTATTATTACATTTTTCAAATGATGAAGCTAATGATGTAAAACCGATTTCGTCGAATGCTGATATAGATCATAATATTTTTCTCAACACGAAAAATATATAACGATTCTTATAGGAAAGTCTCATTACATACGTGTAATGAAAGCGTGTAATGAATTTTTATTTTTTTTCTACGAACGGAGATATTGCAATGCAAAGTCCGAAATGTGGGAATTTTAGATTAAGAAACGTCGTCGTCGTCGTCGTCGCCCAGTTGCGGGAAAATGTACTTTTACTTTCTGACGCAAGAGGTGCTAGAAAAAAGGTGCTTAAAAAAATCACTGAGCATTCACTAATCTATTCTCTTTGCTGAATGCATGTTTTTCTTTGACAGTGAGGATTTAAGGATAAGTATATACACGGAGAGAATTTTCTTTTAAAATTTACCCTGAAAATCATGTTAATTGTGAGACAATATAGTATTTAGGTAAATTTTACTGTG